GGATAGTGACGGCTCAATAAATTTTTATTCTGTGTTTAATATTTTTATTTTCTAAGTTTTTAAAAAATAAGCATATTTTAGTATAACATTATTATAAGTGTCACCCAAAAAACAGTAAGATATGGTGTTTCCTCTCAGAAGGGCAGCCTATTTGGAATGGAAACAAACATTTAAAGGAGTATGTTTAGTGTGCACCTAACATGTGCCCCAAACTATGCTTGGCAATTTATATGCACTAACTCATTGAATCCTCCTAAATGATAAAGCAGGCATGGTTAAGCCAAATCTGTGCACAAAGAAACAGGTTCATACCTCTGAAACCAATATAACATTGTGTATCAACTATATTCCAATAACAAAGTAACAAAAACCAAATAAACAATAAATAAATAAAGGGTTAAAAAATTAAATATAACTAGGAAAAAAAGAAAAAAAAAAGATATGGGTTCAGAGAAGATAATTAACTTGCCAAAAGTTAAACAAAGTAATTGATAGAAGCGAGATTCTAAACTTAGGTCAGTCTGATAACCACAGCTCAGTTATTTCACCAAAGCCCCTCACTGCCTCCAGAAGTCACGTAAGAAGAAAAAGGACGCCCAGAATACACATTTCCTTTCCCTTTACCCAGCTTTATTCTTCTTACGAACCTATCAGCACCAGATATACCAGATATTTGTTCATTTGCTTACTGCCTGTCCCTAGGATGGAAGCGCTGTAAGAACAGGGCATTGTTTGTTCACTGCTGTACCCTCAGCTCCTAGCACACGGAAGACAGACACTCGAAGTCTAGTAAGGACTTTAGAATGAAGGACTCTGAATAGAGAAATGACCTGATCATGTCTCGGGGGTCACATCTGGTGGCAGTGTGAAGCTTGGTGAAGAAGCTGCTTGTAAGAGTCCAGGTGAGAGAGGATGAGGCAGTGAACTAAGGCAGAGGAACCAAAACTAGAGAGGAAGAGAAGATTCTGGAACTATCCAAGATGGCACTGATAGGACATGATGACTGAGTGGATGTGGGACTAAAGGACAGTGTGGAGTCAGCAGTGAAGAGAACTAAGAGGAGGAAGGACAGGCCAGCATTTGTCAGGAGGGGGAAGGAGAAAGAGAAGAGAGCAGAGAAGAGGAAGAATCCAGGCCGTATGGTGGGGATATTAACTGATTAGCAGCACACACAGAAAAGCACCCAGGAAGAGAGCTGGGGTGCAGTGACTGGAGTGTGGGGTGGGCACACAAAAGCAATGACCAAGCTCACCAGTGAGAAGACACAAGAGGGTCCACCAGAGCTAGGCTTCAAGTTTGGGGCAGGCCAGAGGGGACTGAGCCCTGGCGGTGTGAATACCACTGAGTGTCCACAGCAGGTGGGGCCTGATTGGCCTGTGAACCCAGCTGCCCAGCTGTGTGGTTTCTCCTGTGTTCTGGGATTCTGCTCTGAACAAGACACTCAACAGTGTCAAAACTGCACAAAACCAGCCCCAAACACTCAGCCACTAATCATTGAATATTTAAATTAAAACAGCTTTCTAACTGGTTTGTTTTTAAATCTTTCCTCACACTGAAGCATATGATATTACCACCAAATCAATATTCCTGAAACCCTAATTTCATGTCAGATGAGACTCCCCTTGATCCTATTCTACCTGCACTGTGAAATATTAACAGTGTGAGTAGATTTAGGAAGTTTAAAGTTGAATCCTGGGTCTATCACTCAGTAGCTGTGTGATCCTGGGCAAGTTACTTAACCCCTCTGTGTTCCCCTCAGCTCCTCATATCTATAATGTGGTTAATACCCACATCATAGAGCTGTTCTTATAAAGATTCTTATGAAGTGCTAACTAGGCCCACAATGCCTGGCATAGTAATTACACACTTTAAATGTTAGCTACAGTATTATTACTTCCCCAGATAAATTTCCTACTCTGTCTGCTTGGGGTGCTCTCCTGGCCTTTTAAACACACAGTGCCCATCTCAGGACCTTTGCTGATGGTGTTCCCACCCATAAAACACCACTCCTTCACTCAACATTTAAGCTATATATTCAAGGTGTTGGGCTAGAAATATGGAAAAACAAGCAGTCCCAACCCTGAGTTCATAGTCTAATAATGAAAGGCAGCCAGAGGAAGAGGTGCAGTAGTAATAGGTTACAGGTACCAAGGGAAGCACTTCCTGGAGGCAGAGGACATGCTTACACTGAATCTCAAAAGCTGATTGGCTGAATCAGGCACAGTGGGTGCACGTAGAGTAAAAGCACCCAGCTCTGTGGTCACAGTCACTGTGCTGAGTTTGGCATTGCTTGAGCTCTGAGCTGGAGGCAGGCCAAGAGACCAGAGGGTAGAAGAGGGCTAGATCATGGAGGTCATGAAGTGTTTGAACTTTATTTTGTAGGCAACAGGCAGCTACTAAATGATGTTAAGTAGGAACCCCTGCTTGGGTTCTAGCTGCCCCTGTACTGCCAATATGAAAGCCACATATGACCACTGAACGCTTGAAATGCATGCCTAATGTGACCAAGGACAAAAATTTTTCATTTTAATTAATTTAAACTTAAAAACTGATATGTAATTCAGTTAACAGGAAAGTCTGATGTTTGGAACAATTTGGGTATATAATCTACTTTTTCAAAACTGTACATTGAATGAACTCTGAATACAGATCAGGTATTTCCAATGAAAATTTAGCATCTAAATTGAGATGTGCTTAAGTGTAAAATACACACGAGATTTTGAAGACTTAGTGTAAAAGAAATAAAATCTCATTAATAATAAAATGTTGAAATATTTTCAATATATTAGGTTAAAGATGACATTCAAAATAACTTCACCTCTTTCTTTTTATCTTTTAACGTGACTACTAGGAAATGTAAAATGGCGTCTGTGGCTCACATTGTATTTTGGATAGCCCTGATCCAACAGAACCAAGGGCAGAGGAAAGAGGAAAGAGACTAGAAGCAGGAAGATCAATTAAGAGACTCTGTGGTAAGAGTCAAGATGAGGCACAGGCCTAAATTATCCACATTCTCCTCATCTTCAAATTCTAATTCAACACTTACTATGACCGCAAAAAGTTTTTCCAATTGTAACCGTTCCTAATTGAGTTGCCTGTCTCTGAACTACGGTGATATTTAAATCCCCTGTAGCATTCCCTTCAACACTTCATCATTTACCACCTGTCATCTCTATTTAATTTTGGGGTGAGTTGTTTCTCAGAACTATGAGCTTCAGAGTAAGAGCCACAATCTTGGCATCTTTAATTTTTAACACATTGTGCAGTGCATATATAATAATAATTTTAACAAACTGAGAGGTACATGGCTCCCCAAATATTCTGACACACAGTCTGGAGACACCATGTGGTTAACTTTACTTTCCACAGCAGCAGGTGACTGAATGTCTTTGCCTTCGCACACCTCAGGGACATGAGCTAAAATAATGTAAAAGTTAGCCAAGATTTCAGGCCAATGTTCCGATAAAGCAGTATTATCTAATCAGTGAGCAAACATTAGCAGACTGTATTGGATACTATCAAGAAAAAGTCAAGCTGGCAGAGCAATTTAGCATTTTCACAAATTCCCTTAAAAATCAAACCATTTCTGATTATCTCTGGCCTCCACTGCCAGAGATAACCTTTGCAACCTAAGCATTAGGAACTTTCAAGGGAAGAACACACAGCTTTAGCGTTTAAAATTTAACCCCTAAATCAAATCCTTCTAATAAATAACACATTTTCCAGGTAGAGAGCCACATATTACTAATAAATCCACAATTCAGAATTTTAAAGTAAAGTGAAGAAAAACCTTTTTAGGGAAATGTTAAGTATATGAGCATATTTCACTGTACTATGAATAATAAAGTACTTCACCTAAAGTACCATTTAAATTTTCTAAGAACCCTTAAAAAACAAACAGTTGGTCACCTTTCACCATTTCAGAAATCGTTATCTAGTAGCAACTAGTTGCAAGTAAAGGGACACGCATGGTTATTTGTACTAATCTTCTGGGAACTTCATAGTTCTCGGATTTTTTTATATTTGACTTTTAAAACATAAAGCTGACAGGTTGTAACATCAGAATCGATCTTTTTTTCATTTGCTGAATGGCTACAAAGATGATACAACAAATTTCAAGTGAAATTTCTATTTCCAAACAATTGAGCAGTTAAAGATGGAGTCAGGAGAGCTCAGAAAAATAAGGCAGTTCTAGTCTGAAAGGCAAATTAAGAAGAAATGGGGGAAACCTATCAAAAGGCCTGAATGAAACCAGTGAGTTAAAAAGAAAGCACTCATTTCCTTTACCACGGTGGGAAAATCCCAGTTGCTAACGGGAAAGCTCAGGAAAGTTTAGTTTGGCTGATTTCGTTGTTTTACTTCCAACATCATCACTGAAGGACTGCTTTCCTCCCCTCACATTACTCAGTAAAAACTCCCCCACAGAACCGAGTTTTTCTCCGGAGCCCGGCGCCCCCGCCTCCCAGCCTGCAAACGTGCTCAGACGCCTCTGGGCATGTCATGGTCTCCCCAGTCTGCAGGCGAGCGCTCCAAACTCAATGGACAATGGGAGCTCACCCCCGTCAACGCCAACTACAAAGCTCAGGAGAGCCATTTCCCTTTTCCTGCCCAGATGCTGTTTTGCCTCCTTCGAAGCAGGGCCGGTGCTCCGGCAGAGCCCCAGTTTGGGTTAGGACGCTTGTCTTCCTCCCCACCTGCAGTGCTGCTGAACCCCTCGACCCCCAAACCAATAAGTTGTATTGTAGTGCACATGCCAAGGGGCCCCTCTCCCCAGGGGCTTGTCTGCGGACACAGGTTTCACAGTCCAGGTCCTACCTGCACTGTGATCAAGTAGTACCTCCGGACGCTGGGTCACGGCCCTCAAGACTAAGCCGTCCCCACGTCCCACCCCAGACTCAACCTGTCTCCCCAGCCCCTCCAGCAGAGAGGGCGGGAAGGGGCGGGAAGGCAGCACGGCCACCTCTCCTTATCCAGGGTAGCTAGCACTGGGCGACACTTACCCTTTCACCACAAAGAAGGGGTCCTCCATGGACATGGCTCCCGGCCCCCGGCCGCCTCACGCCTGCTCCGCACCCTCCGATCCTCCCTCTGCCCACCCCACCGGCCTCACGCAGCCGTGGGCGCCTCAGCCTGGGGGACCCACAGCGGCGGGCGCGCGCAGGCCGGGGTGCACAGGGCCGCCGCGGGTCCAGCACCCGGTCAGCTCCGCAGATGGAATCCGTGACTCGGCCGCCAGCCCCAGCGGCTGCCTCCTCCCCCGGCTCCTCCCTGAGCGTCCGGCCGGCCTGACCCCGCCCCCGAGATCCTCGCTGCGGCCAACCACCAACGCGGTCCGCCGCACCACTTCCGCATCCGTGTTCACGTGATTGTTCTGGCCCGCCCCCTCGCGGGCGGGGCTTGTGCACGCGTCATGCGACGCCGGAGGCGGGGCTCCGGGACGGGAGGCGGGGCCGCTCTTCTCCCTCTTGCCCCCTCGGGCTTCAGGGAAGGAGCTGCTTGTTCACACATAGGAAGGCAGTTTGTAAGTACCTGGGTTGCGCAATCCTTTCACCTTTTCTCTACTTCTAATACTTGATCCTAGTAACGTGATTGTAAATCCATTTCGTCCTCGACTTACAATAAAGTGTGCTCATATGCATTATCTGACTATGACAATGATTCACAACGCCTTAATGTAGGTCTTTCTATGTGTCTGGCAATACGCTAAAGACCATGTGTGCATTATCTCACTATGCTTGAGGGGAAGGTATTAACTATACCCATCTTGTAGATGAGAAAAGCTCAGAGAGGTTTCAAATTGTCCTGTGGTCACACAGCCTGGACAGGGCAGGGCCACGGATTCTGTGCACTTCCATGGGACTGGGGTGTACTTTCTTTTGCTGTGCGTTCTGCAGGTAACTGGTAAGGTAATTTTTTCATGCAGCATTTGGTGCTTCCCAGGAAGGATTACCTCTAAGGAACAAAGAAGGGGCCAGGTATGGCAGTTTCCTCTCAGCTATGGTTCAGGAGCTCTTCCAGAGAGCATTTCAGTCCGAACAATTAGCCAACTCATCTGTTAGACATGCTATGGGGTTTGTGAACTTAAATTGCTGATTATCATTGTGCACTTACTTGTGTCAGACACAGTGCTGTGTGATCTCAGTTGCCCTCACAATGAGGTTATTAATGTTATTATCCACATTTTATCAGTGGGAAATTTGAGACTTAGAGGTTTAAGTGACTTGCCCAGATCACCAGTCTTTTTGGAGGTGGAAGAATCCTCAGAGCCAGCCAAGCCTGTTTGAATCCGGGTTCAGTTATTCAGTTCCTCATCTATAGAACATGAATAGTACTATTTAGCTTATGGATTACTGTGAAGGTTAAATAAACATGTGTGTAAGCCTCAAGGCACCACTGGACTGAGGTAGTGTTGAGGAGTGTCCTTGAGAAGATGTGACCTCCAGTTGACCTGGGAGCTTGACCCTGGCAACCAGAGGCTCCTCACCACCTACCCTGTCCTTGGAATATAGGTTCCGCCTGCCTTCCCTGCTCCCAGAGGCGGCCCCAAAGTCACAGCCTTGACATAGTGATGTGGTTTTAAGACCAGTATACATGACTGAACCCAGTTAAGGCATCTATAAAACTGTTAAGATTTGGCAGGTGGATGCAGAGATCTACTCGTCTTGTGTTCACCCAAGACAAGCCTCCTATGTAAGTTCCCTTGCTTCTTAAACCTGCTACCTACCAACCGGGGGTGGCCCGCCTCTTTCTTTGGTTTCTCCCTGCCCTCTGAGTACAGGGCCAGTTTCAGATCACACCTGGGAGGCTTCTGCAGAGCTTGTGAACCAACAGGAAGTAAAGTCAGGGAAAGCAGTGAGGAAGCTGCTGTGGTCATCCGGCTGTAAGCGAGGAGGACCGGACCTGGATGACAGCAATTGTGGATGCAGAGGAAGGAGTCAATCTGATAAATGTTTCCAAGGACAATCAAAACAAAACACCTAGGTGTGAGGAGAGATTGGACTGGATTAGGGAAGAAAGAGGTGAAAGCCAAAAACTTCAGGCTTCTCTGAGGCCCTGGAGGAACAGTTGAGGTCAGATGTGGGGAAAAGAAACTATTGGGAGAGAACTGTTCAATTTGGTTATGGATATATTGAGATGGGACAGCCATCTTTCATTCATCAATGAACACATGCAAATTGAGGGGCAGAGGAAAATAGTGATTAAGAGCCATACTTGGAGGCAGATTACCTGAATGCAAATTGCAATTCTGCTACATGCTCACTGTTATGTCTCTGAAAAGATGCTTAATCTCTCACTATCTTCAGCCTGGGAAAGGGATACTGTATGCCTTTCTCATCAGTGTCACAAGGATTAAATGAATTGATCTGTGAAAAGTGCTTAGAAGATGGCCAAGAGGAAACTACTGGCGCGTGTTGAGGGCCTTCTATGTGACTGGCACTGAGGACACAGATGCATAGCTTTGGGCCTTGCCTTCAAGGAACTCTCAAGCACTTGGGGAGACAGGCCTCAGGGAAAGGGAAGCTGTAGTTAAAATGCAAGTAGAAACAAAGGAAGCTACTACTTTCTGTTCTTTGTTTGTTTAGTTTATGTAATTATTTATGTCCCAAGTCCTGGCATAAATAATTACTCAGGAAGAATATTTAGCAAAAAGCCATCTCCTCCTATTCCCTCAAATCCCCCCAAAAAAGAAGAATCCAAAATTCTTATGAAGTAAAAAATCAAAACAGTAGTTGCCTTGGTGGTAGGGGATATAGACTAGGAAGGGAAACTTTCTGAAGACATATAAATGTTCTGTATCTTGTTAAGAGTATGGGTCACACAGTATATGCGCTTGTCAGAACTCATCTAACTGTAACACTTAGATTCTGCTCATGTTCCTGGAGGAGGCTAACACTCCAACTCAGAGTAGAGTCCTAAGACAGCATCCAGGAGAACCGCTGGCCCCTGAGTGAGTCTCCACCGTTTGGAAGGGTGAGTGATGGAAGCAGCTTACTGGAGTCCTGCAAGGATCTTGTGCTGAAATAGGGGATGTCAGTGCAGAGAATAGGGCACAGGCCACCAGGCTATAGATCCTGTGAGAATGAGGATCAAGGATGAAATCACTTCCTATTGCTAAGGATGCCAGATAGACCTGAGTTGCCCACTCCCACTAAAAGCTGTGGGAGTCCCATGACACCCCTACAAGGGGATCTCTGCCACTCTGAAATGGGCATAACAACACCCAACCTGCTTCTGCAATAGGTTGTTTTAAAGATCAACTAGGATATATGTGAAGGCATTTTGCAAAGTATAAGATACTATGTCACCTTAAATCCTTTTTCAAAAGTAATTAAAAATTTTTTAATTGTGGCAAAGTACAGGTAACAAAATTTACCATCTTAACCATTTTTAAGTATATAGTTCAGTAGTGTTACGTATATTCACATTGTTGCTCAACTCATCTCCAGAACTCTTTTATCCCATTCATTGACTCCCTATTCTCCCCACCGTACCTCCTCACAGCCACCATTCTACATTCTGTCTCTATGAATTTGATGATTCCAAGAACCTCATGTAAATGGAGTCCTATAGGATTTGTCTTTTTGTGACAGGTTTATTTCACTTAGCATAATGTCCTCAAGGTTCATCCATGTTGTAGCCTGCGTCAGAATTTTCTTCCTTTTAAAGGCCAAATAATATTCCATTGTATGTGTAGACCACATGTTGTTTATGCATTCATCCATCAATGGACACTTGGGTTCCTTCCAACTTTGGGTATTGTAAATAATGCTGCTATGAACATGGGTATACAAATGTCTCTTCAAGACCACTCTTCTAGTTCATTTGGGTAAAACCCAGAAGTGAAATTGTTGGTCATATGATAATTCTATGTTTAAGTTTTTTTAACCCTGTTACCTCATTTAATCTGCATAACAAAATCATGAAGTGAGTACTATCATTATTCCCATTGTAAATATTTGGAAACTGAGGCTCTAGGAGTTTTAAGAATTTTAAAGGCACTGTTTTTAGTGTTTTGAGGAACCACCAGACTGGCTTCCACAGTGACTGCACCATTTTACATTCCCATTAACAGTGCACAAGAGTATCTCTACATCATTGCCAACACTTGTTATTTTCTGGGTTTTTTTTTAGGAATAGCCATCCTAATGGATGTGAAGTGGTATTTCATTGTGGTTTTGATTTGCATTTCCCTAATGATTAGTGATATTGAGCATCTTTTATCTGCCTATTGGCCATTTGTATGTCATCTGTGGGGAAATGCCTTTTGAAGTCCTTTATGCATTTTTTAAGTTACTTGTTTTTTTGTTGTTGAGTTCACCCTAAATCCTTTTAGAAAAAAATACAGAATAAGGGAGGAAACTGTAACATAGATGTTAGGTATTATGCTCTTCATTATTAGTCCACTCTTTTTAAAACCCTGATACATATATTGCATGTATTGGAACACTGGGAAACATCCACTCATGGCCTCCATCGATCCTGCAATGGCTGTCTACATTTCCCAGCCCCCATCACAGGAAATATCCATACATTATTACATTATGTTTTTTTTTTCCTCCCTTGGTTGTTACCAACATCCTTATCCTTGCTTTAAAATAAGTAAGGAGGAATTCTAGTCAACTTATATATCCAACAATAGGAAGTGATTAACAATTTATAAAATATCCATTCAATGGTCATTAGAAATGTTTAAAAGTGTGTAATGACATATATAGAAAATAGGAAGGCACAAAATTTTATATATGATATGATTTCAACCCTGTTCACTTTGACATATAGGAACATTTTTATAAATAGAAAATTTTTACATATAGAAAAAAAGAAATGTATTTAAACTTTGACAGTTTTCTGCCATGAAATGTTTACTTGCATAATCAGAAATACAAAAAATAAGAAAAGAAAAATTGAAAAAAGAGAAGTAGGGAAGCCAAGAGCTAGTAGTTTTAAATCCTTTTTTAGAATGAGGCAAGGTAGTAATGTATGAATGAATGCATATTGGTGAGTATTCAAAGTTAAAATATATTATTGGAATTCAGTAAATTTCTTGACACAACAGTGGATTTGAACTAGGAAGGCAGGTATGACCTTCACCATCCTCCATGAATTTGTAGGTTACACAGAGGAGCAAAAACCACAATCCTGTTGGTAAACTGTTGAATAATAGTAATAGTAGTAGTAGTAGGAACAATTGCTAACACTTACTTACCATGTACCTGACATTGGGCTAGTGACGTACGTGCATAATCTTTAGAAGTGGCTCCAGAATT